CTTTGACTCAAAATAAGAGTAGTTCTACGCTGTTCGAAATAACGGTGGAAAAATGGTATGACCGGCATTCTAGTGGCCGGTCGCACCGTGAAAAAAAAAACTGTTCCGCCGTTTTTTCAAGATGGTATTGGTTTCTTTTGTTAAATTAAAAAAAACGGCGACATTGCGTTTTTTCACGTACCTGCTGGTCATTAAAATGCCGTTAAAACCATTTTGCGGCCATTTTTCGAACAGTGTAGGAGTTATAAAAGCAGGTGCATGAATAATCTCCCCGCAGAGATATGCTCCTGAAAAACTTCATGCTGTTTCAATTCTTATCTCGATTAAAATCGAAAGCACCGATTGAGGAATCTTATTTGTAAAATAGATTACTATCAATAATTATTGCTAAATAGAGTTTTAGTGCAATTAGGTTTTTTAGAAATTTAGACATAGAAATTAACGACTGTGCACTGTTAATTGTAGAGAAATGTAGCGCTGCGAAAAATTCATAATTATGATCCCACTTATTTTTCATGAAGTACGGAACATCAATGTCTCTAAACCAGTGCTAAACTTTTTTCATTGGCAGAGTAAAATTACTCCTGTTGAAGCATAAATAAATTCTTATTCATCTTATTTCAATGCAAAATCTTTATTCTGTAAACCACACTAACTTTATATATGTTTTCGAGCAAGTTCTCTTCAATTTTGGGTATTTGTTCGAGCAAGTACTCTCTAACTTTAAAAACATATTCGAGCAAGTTCTCTTTAACTTTAAAAACATATTCGAGCAAGTTCTCTTTAACTTTAAATATTTGTTCCAGCAAGTTCCCTGTCATTGAAAGATGTGATTTGCTGGACACACATTCTGTCCCATGAAAATAAAATATCAACCATCATTTTTATTTACAATCATATTGTGAAGAATGAAAATTGTCCGTTACTGGAACATCTTTATCGCGAAGCATTGAGCTGGAAGTCGATAGCACACGCGGCTCAAGGTCTGTCGCCGGGAGTCGCGTTGTCGAGTCGATGCAATGCAATGACGTAAATTTATTACAGTCTCCTGGAAAGTTATAACAGATAGTATGAAAATAGTTGTCATGTGAGCAGTCTTCTCAGAATATTTTGAATGTGGTTCATTTGAAAAATTTATCCGCGCGATTCTTCTCAAGTGATTAAAAGAAAAGTAATAAATTAAAGTGTAGATTTCATGTTCTGATGACCATGTAGTTAAATGAAAAATGTGAATGTAACCAATTTATTATTGTTGTTCTCTGTTGCTTCTCTGTTCATATGGCTGAAGTCGTGCAATGAATCTTTAGTGTTCCTGAACTTCATTATCACGAGTAACATCGCATGCCTTCCGCACTTATCCTAAAGTGGCCCGATACTGTAAATGAATACTTGCACACCCCCAAAGACCTATAATCCTTATATGTATCTACTGTTCTAAACTTGTAAGTTGTTTATTAGCTGAAATCTAGGAAAAGTTTGATCTCATTCTGTACTTTCCATAAAATTGAGATCCGTTAGAATAAATCCATGTCTGTACCCACGTCCGCTATATAAACAAATAAAAGAACGCATGCAGCCCTTAAATTTTGAAATAATTACACAGAACAGAAATGTGGATCCAAAAATAAAAGGTCCACTAGAAATTCCTCGCGTTAGTCCTACATATATAGATGTCATATGAGATGATAGAGAATAATTCTTCAATTTATGTGAACACGAAGATAATCCTACGACGAGCCGAACTCTTGAAGTCTTGTGAAAATAAAGATAGTCTTCTGATGAGCAGAACTGTTGAAGTCGCTTGAAAAATAAGATAGTCTTCCGATGAGCAGAACTCTAGAAATCTTGGAAACAGGCAAGCCGAAAGTGTTCAGTCTTACCACTCAATGATTTAAAAAAAAAACACGCATCCCTTCTTGCTTCACTGGACGCACGATTTACGGCGCAGTCGTGACAGCGTGAAAATGTTCACTGCTTTGCCGATTGAATGGTGCGCTCCTGGGATCGGAACTTGAAAGATAAGTCGTCTAGTGGCCTGCGTCACTGAGGCGAACTGACTGACGGATGTGGGAGCTCAAGCTTTTTTCCGGCGTCAGACACCGGAATACATGGGCCAAGGAGACATCAGTCCGAACATGATAAATGATGGAGATTATCGCAGTTTCTATCTTAAAAAGAACTTAACATTTTAATAATTATTATTTAAGCATGGTATAAGTGATTCGAATTGTTGAGATTTCAAACAATACATTTTTAAACTTTAAGAGAAAATTTAGGCCTCTAGTACTATTCTGTTGTTTCAATATTAGTGCCCCAAAAAAATATTAAAATATATTTATATTAAAATATTAAAATTGACTATCAATATTAGTGGCCGCTCTTAAAACTGCGTAGACTAAATTTTACTACATGCTCAGTGGATGCGCAATGTTTATTTTTCAAAAAATGTTCCCTTATCTGCGAATGTCGCAATATCTAGAATTGTGTCTTCATATTTGTTTCCCTCCTCTAAAGCTCATTACACTTGGTGTTGATTGCGTACATAACTCATTTTAAGTTGTGCATTTGAGTCTCTATAAATTACAGCTTGTTTTGCGGTTAGCATTTATATATCCTTCTTTATCTACCTAATCTTCCTATGAGATTTCAAATGCAACCCAGCTTATTATTATAGACAGCATTATTTTTAGAAGTTTGATTTGAAGAGGACATTATATTATATGTTAATTTTCTCGTTATTTCCTCGTGTCTGCTTTGAGATAGAATATTTAAATAAATATTCTGCAAAATTGAAATAAAATAAAATTCTTATATTATTTCATCGTAAACTGACTTTGTTACTGGACGATTACGAGAATTATTCTTGTTTCGAACGATATGAGTGCATCTCTAACTGACCATTTAACGTAACTTTCTTTCTCATATTTTAGTGTAGCGTGTAACTCTACCCTGGCACTTATTTTCCGAGTTTAAACTTAATTAAATCTATATAAATCATTGTAGCAATTAGGTTTGATTCAACATATTTCCCTAAGTAATCAATCAATATTACCATTATACCTATGATTATGCCCTGTTTTTATTCCTAAACTTTCGCACAATAATGGTCTGCTTTTGCACCTGTGGGAAATGAATGACACCATTAGCTTGTACTGTTGAATCTGTAGAACTTGAGTCGACTCATTTTTTGAACTCAGAAAATTTTCAATATTTTTTTAAATTAGTCGTCAATCTTTCTTGGTAGATCCGCTACTCATCGACCTGCACATATGAACTTTATTCTAAAATTTATAAACTGCTTGCAGATCGGCAAGGCATTTTGAGGGATAGATTATCTTCAAAAATTTTTGGTGTCCCGGTGTCATAAATCCCGTCATATCAAATGGTATTAATTGACAATACTTAATTCAATGTGTGCCAGTAGTAGAAAAGACTAATACAATCCAACATTTCATACTGAGCATGGATGTTCTATTTAGCTTGGATTCAAAATTAAAAATATTCATCATTATTTCAAATTAAGCTCAAATGTACCGATTTAAGAATCATATTTCGTATACTGTCATTTCTCTTGGTTTTACAACGCCTTGCTAATCTTCCACTGAAAATAAATTTCGTGGATACGCACCCAATCAGCACCAGGATACGCACCAATCATAACTATGCACCCAGTGTGGTGCGTAGTTATGATACGCACCCAATATACGCACCCACCAATCATAAGATACGCACCCAATCATTTTGTTGATACGCAACAATCATAACTACGACACCAGGTTTTAAACGCACAAAAAACTTTGGTAAATAATTGTAGGAGTGTGCATGTTAACAAATTTTAGACCCCACTCCTATATAGCGCAATAAACTTTCCTACATCTTTATCATCTTTATTGACTTATAGTTAAACATCATTTTCCTTCTGGACAGCCTCCATCCACCCTCATCTATACCATTTACAACCAAAAACAATCTCTTAAACCAACGATCATTTCATTAATTTTCTAAAGTGACTTCTATCATTCACCCCACCTTGTCCATCAGAACCTGATTACCATGTATTAATTTTATAATGCGCTTACTAAGTTCCATGTTCTCAAAAATCTGAATGAGGAAAAAATTCATTATTTTAATGACATAAGCTTATCCCCTGTAAAAGTATTTGCGTTTAGTACCAACGAGTTTTAGTTGTGCTTCCACTCTATTAATAATTGTACACATTTTGCCTTTTTCTTTACTTAAAATCATATTTTAAAAATTTCTTCAGATTTCAAACTGACTTATAAACGAATGTAATTAATTTCATTTATATATTTATTGCTTTAATTTTATCACATTTCTAACAAATAAAACAGGTTCCATATCACTTTACCGTTATAATCTTTTACAATAAGAGTCATTGGTATGCATGCGATTGAAAGAAAGTGATATACTTCCAATTAGCTTGCGTGCGCAACAAACCTGCAATCACATTCTGCGTTGCAAAATTTCATTAATTTAATGGAACTTGATCATTAACCTATTTGCATTTATGGCACCTGAAGTTTGTGGTTAAATCAGAAAACGTTTCCCATCTTCTATCTTTTTAATTTGAGTTTCGACACGTTAATTTTTATTCATCAACAATAATTTGCCAACAAGAATTTTCCAACACGCTCCATGTTTTTGCCAAGATGCTTCGACATATTTTACTTTTCTATCGACAACTACAATAACTCGTTCACTAATTAATTGTACACCAGAACTCCCGCTAATATATTACTTGTCACGTTCTCATTATTGCTATTCGATAATTATTTATACTTACTAAGGTGTTTTAAAACCTATTAACTATTTATTTAAGTTCTCTCTCAGCAACTCCATGGACAGAAAAGAGAAATTAAAGAAGTAAACGATGGTAAGACGATGGAACTCTAAATTTATTTCCCTTGCTTAGAGTCTTCAGAGAAGTTTTCGGTAGCTGTTGGGCACATTTTAGAATTACATTGCATTTTTTCGTGCAGGTGATCCGCTGATAGAACTTCGAGCGAACGTAACGAGCGGCAACTACTGCAGCAAACGGGTGCTAGACTTCGGCAACGGGGGCAACGGGCCCATATCCTACGCCTCCAGAGACGTCCTGTGCGGGCAACAGAAACATCCTACCGAACGATGTTTGGTAAATTTATTGAATAAATTATATGTTATAATTGTTTGACGCTGATTAAATATTCATCCAAACGACGACTGGAATACATATTAAAAAGAATCAATTTGTTATGCATTAGATAACTGAATATATCGCAACTTGTGATACCTAGTCTGAACTGAACATGAGTAAAACATGTATTTACTTATTATTTTATGTCATATTGACTCGTAACACAAGCTTCTGAAACTTTGTCAGAACTGAACTCATGAGTAAAGCTTTTATTAACTCATATTTAATTCAGTATTGGTGTTGCAGCTCGAGGAGATGAGTGGTGCAGGGCTGCTGTGTGAGTGGGCCGGGCGGTGGGAGGTGGTGGGGGTGGCGGTGGCGGGGACAGGATGCAACACGGGGGCGCGCCCCCGCGTCTACGACGACGTTAATCCCACCGCCGTTAAATGGATCAAAATGACGATAGCGGCCTTTGCCAAAGAGTCTGTATAAGCCTTAATCTCTTAACCTTAGTTCGCTACGTTGTGACGCGTTCATCATAATCTTAAACCAAAACGAGCATTCCGTTCCAACAAAGATTAGTGAATCGATTGAGATTTGCTCAGCTATTTTTTTTTCTGAAATATCTTTTTAGTTATTGGTCATACTATAATAGCTGGATATATTGTAAACTATCACCGTTTGTGCGAGTGGCGAAAGATTAATTTCTTTCTAACGTTTATTTTTGTGCTCATGTGAATATTATTTGTCTACATGAAGTTTCCTATGATGCTGATCTGATCTATTTCTGTATTTGGGAAGTCTATTAATCCTAAGTAAGTCTATTTTTATGAAAGGTGGAGGTACAATCACTGAGCGTTATTCTGGCGCTAGTCCACGCACAGATACCGAGTCGTTAACTGAGAACTGTAGGAATCAACTGAACCTTTCGAAGGAGTAACCAACTATAGGCAGGAGATCAGTTTGGCATTGCATGTACACTGGACTAGTAATGTAGGTTTGCATCGCACTTCGGGAACGACCGACTGTAGTAAAACGAATGCATTCCGCTGTACTCATCACCAACACCTCGAAACCGGACAAACAAAATTCAGTGAAATGCACGTAACACATAAAGTTGTTACATGTGCCCTCAATGCCGCAGAAAATTTGTCAACAGAACTTGAAAATGCCTCCCAAGAAGAGAGGAAATCGTCCTCCCAAAACAACAAGTAAATACTATGATGGAAATTCAACTTATTTAATTGAATACTGAAATGAAATGTTTTTTTTTTTATGCGTTGAATGCACACTTTTGTCGAATAACTTGAAATTATGTTGTTCCTTATTTGCAGGAACATAATAGGTATATAACTTTTGAATGTTTTCTTTATAGCAAAACTTCCGAATACCTAACATCGTCTCATCCCTTGAATTCATGGACAATTTCAAAATTTTCTTCTTCATGTGGCTGTGTAAATTCATATCTATTGAATATTAAGATTTTTAATTTTTCTTCATTTTGACCGTCGTAAATTTTTCTTAATATAAACTGTTTCCTATTCACAATTCGATAATAAGTAATTTATTATCGAATATTGAATATACTCGATGACGAGTCAAGCACAAAGTTTCATCCTCTGCACCGGATTTGTCATTTCAAAAATTCAAACTGTAGCGAATAAGGCAATCTGCAATCTACATAAGCAATTGCGATTACGGAAAAATTGCGGAAAGCTGTTTAATCTGATTAAACTAATCAGATTAAACTATAGACTAATTAAATTGCGGAAAGCTGTTTAATCTGATCTGACGCTGTGCTATCAGAACTTTATTAAGTACATGTAGCGTCCCAAATACACGTAGCGGCCGATTTCTCGTCTATGATCGGAAAGTTTAATTTGAAAACACGTCAGTGATTGGCTGGTGGAGTTTCTTTTTTGAATACGGCCGCTGTGATTAAGAACATCATTAGTGGTCGGTGAAAAATCAGATAATGAAGTTGTACATGCAGTACTGGTTCCAAATTATGGTATTGCAAAGCAGTGAACAAACTGTAGGTTCTATAGATCTTAAGAGTGTTAACGATTTGAAACAAACTTTTATTATGCTACATTAGATGTTGAGAAATCTCATTGAAATTATTTAAAACTGCTTCTTTTCTTGGAACTGTATTTTTAGCACCCTCTGCGAGACAGCTTGGTATTATAAATCTAGGTACATTAAAAGTCTATCACTATTGAAAGAGCATGTGTGTGTAGTGAATGTTTATGCCACAATGTGCTGTAAATAGCAACCTGCAATGTAGCTTCATTACTATGATACTATAGATAATAAGTATAGAATTTAGCCAAGTAACACTCTAACATATCATTGTGACATCCTTCTGAACACTAATTGAATGATGAGCTCTGATTATGTTTGATGTTCTACAATGCAAAGGAGTAAATCATGCAAATTAGACTCCCATTTAAAAAAAACGTATATTAGACTCGAGTATCATAATTATCAAATACTGATAATTTAATACATTTTTATGAAAATCAACTTCATTCGACTACAAATTATTACATTTGAGGATGGTATTTCTTTTTTATGAAGTTTTTCACTTCATAGTTGCAGTTGAACATTATGCACATCAGTAACATAGATCGCACTATAGGATATCTAATCATTGTATTAAAGTGCATTTTCCATTAGAATCTTCCAGCAACTGGTCTTCCAACCAATTTAAATTGTAACATTTAATTATAAGTTTCCACAAAACTGTCTTACATGAATCTATTTTCTTCAAAAATTGTGTCGTACAATCGTGTTAAAATATTATTCGTTTCATTTGTGGTCGGCAGCGGGCTGTTGAGTAGTGTTCGCTGTTGATCAATCAACTTTTGAATGAAAATTCACACCTCCAATGTGAGGAATCCAACTGATTTCTCAACTAGAAACAATATGGAGGGTATTAAATAGAGCACCCTTTATTGATTAATCGTGTATTTTAATTCACTGATTATTGTTCAAAATCTTCACAATTTCTAATTTTCAAAAATCTTTCAAATTGAAAATCTTGCTTGATGACCATGACCATCTAGAGTCTTGACGTAGATTTACTACAAGATGACCACTCGAACCTCTCTAATAGTACATTAATGTTCAGTGGAAGTATGATTCTATAGCGTAAAGTTAAGAGTTTCTTATGTCTTCAAGCACAGGCGTTAGAGACTCCTTCCGAAACACAATATAACAGGACTTCCAGTAATCTTATGTAAAATATCAAATGTTTTGCTGCTATCTTCTTCGCAGTTATGAAAGCATTGAAAAATCGAAAGAGGAATTATTTACAAAATATGACTGTCTTGTTCGTATACTGTAAAGTTAAACAACTGACAGGAAAATATTTGCGTAAATGTTTGGACTGGCCGTGACTCAAGCCAGCCTCGTTGGTATTAAGTAATTATTAATCGCTTTAGTAATCATTTGTACCGTCAAAATTCCCGATAAAATCTTCAACAAGAAGTTATTGATTGTCCCAAAGGGTGAATGCTCTAATTTTAGTAACCTACATAACGGGTTTGCCTTCATGATGCCCATGTCAGTTAAGAATGTTCTTTGTTTTCATATGGAACTAAACATTTTAATAAAGAAAACGGGAAATCGTGTGCATGAAATAATATGCAAAATTCTTTTAATTTACGAAAAATTTTTATGCTTGATGTGGTTGAGCAAAGTTAACTTGTTCCTAAATTTTCGAACCATTGTAATGATGAGAGCAACCGAAAAATCGTTCGGATTAAAAGCCAGGGTTTGTCACATTGCATGAATGACTTTAGATTCAATGCATGTGTACTCAAACTTGAAAATCTAAATTTCCGTTGAAAAGTTTCTTTAATCTAGTAAGAAATACTTATCAGAATGAAAACTTTAAGATAACATATCAGTAGATAAGCTTTTTAGTTTTTATCACTTATTAATGCTGCACAATTTTTTTTAGAACGAGCTTCGATCAGATCAGTTTTTGTGGCTGACTGAGTGGAAAACTACATGTCTTCCGATTTAGACCTTAAGACCAACCCATGTGTTATCAATTCAAAAATACTTCCATAGTCTAAACCTCAATGAAAATTGCATCCTCAAACATTTCTGATATTTTAGACATAAATTTTCATATGAAGATTATCATCGTAGCACAGAAATGCAATTTTGCTCGGGTGAAACTTCCGAATCCAGAAGCTTTTATTAATGTCTTCCATCTGCCGAATTGCAGATTACTTGTTACTAATCAGTAAGCTGCAAACCCGATCACAGCGTTGCAGAATCGCGCAGCAGAGACGAGCTCGGTTGAGAATAGCGGCAACAGTCCAATAGGAATCAAGTTGTGAAATGTTTTCTCGTTAAGCAAACTCTATCGTTTTTAATAAAAATGATTAATGAAAATACACTTATGTTGTGGGCAGAATTGATGGGTAAGCAGTTTTGTAAAATTTTCGGTTAAAATTCACATTGAGTAGTTAGACAATTTTAAATAAACTTGCACCGTATATAGCTCAGGCATTGTACTCGAATTAATTTTTGATCTGATTTATAATTTTACTATAACTTATCGAGATAATTAATTTCAGAATTTGTTTACAACGATAATTCAATGGCTTTTTAGTATTCCTATAATAACCACCACTTAACGCAAAGAGAAACATCCATTGCCATAATTAGAATTAAATTATTAAGAATTCGGAAGTATAGTAAGTCATTAGTGAAATTAATGCGACTTAACGAAGACAATTCTTAGTGGATTGCTGCCGAATGTAATAGATTACCATCGCAGAGATGCACAGGAGGTCATGGAATGGTTTGAACCGAATAAGCTCTGCCGCAAGTCGATTGTGATCGCCAGGCTGTTCCAGTGTGGGTTTGTTCAGATGTTTGACAGAATTTGACTCGGTATTCGAGAAATTAATTTTTTATGATATTTTCAAAAATTAATACTAATCACGATTTTAATATTACTGTTCATCTCAGAGAGGAACTAATTATACAGAAAAATTGTCAATCAAATAGAAATCATTTAGTACGTTTCATTTCATGTTCAAATGACGATAGTTGTTTACCTTTCTAATATTTAATGGTTGATGTTAAATCTATATCATGTTAAAATTTCCCACTAATTATTTACAAATATTTAACATATCAGAAATATTTACAGTTATTAATTAACTTGATGATTGCGATAATGTATTAATAAATCATAAGCAAAAAAGCGATAATCAACTAAGTATCTAAGTATCTTCAAATTTTACCTTTTTCTAACAATTAATACTTTAGTAAACCTTGTTTACTTATCGAAAAATTTTAGCTGCACAAGAGGCAAGGAAGAATATATTGAATTAATTAAGACTGTCCTATTACTAAATAAAAAGACTGACATAAGACTGTCTTCCAATTCTTTCACTAGGTATTTTTGTGAAATATTTTTTTTACAGTTTGCCTAATATTACCAGCTGGAATTTAGCCTTCAAAATGATTCTTACAATCAGTTTTATTTTAAAAAAATACCCATATTGCATCATTACGGAATAATTTGCAAGATTTTGAAAAACAGTTTGACAAGAAGTAAATTTGTCGCGTGTGAATTAAATGCTCTGATTAGCGTCCCCGAAATATATCATGTTTCTGTTATTGAATTCGTTCATGATTTTTAGAGCAAATTGAAAATCTTCATGACCTAGCAAATAATTTTCTTCTTAAACTTCCAAATTTTTTTTCGTCTTAGATTTTTATAATTAAATGAATCTGACTCCATTATTGTTGCAAAAAATATTTTCGAACAGAATTCAAATTTCTATTCTGACGCTTCATGAATTTTGTTCCGACGTTCTCGACTATAATTCATCAAATCGCAAAACTTGTGAGGCAAATCTCTACTGCTTTCTTCGTGTAGACTGTGAAGGCAGGTGTACAGTGTTCGGTGTGTCGGTCAATAAACGATGTTCAACCAGCCACGTGTTTCTCTTTGTTTCACGGCATAAGCTTTAATTCTTTACCGAGACGAGCCAGCAATGAACAATACATCGGTCGATAATACAAACGTTTACTCGTTGAATGAATTAAAAATATATACAAGTTAGGTTGATTGATTTTCATCGCCTAAGTGCTTGTTCCTTGATTGTCGGGGGCCTTGAAAATTTTTATGCAATTAAGTTATATCCAAGTATTTTTTACCAATATATATGTTTAATAGTTTCATGTTAGTTAATGATATATGTTGGAGTAAATACGTGATTATAGTTCAAAAAATACTATATATCTCTTGACAACAGAGATGAAGATATTCTTCTTAATTACTCGTTAATTCCCAAAGCTTATTGTCGACAAACATTAGCAAATAAATTATGTTCCAGACTCGTGTAGCTGTAAAAACTCTACGGAATTCATGAGTAATATTTTATTACCTTTCGCCGTGAATTTATCATGTTCAATCTGGGATAAAACCCGATTTAACACCGAAATTTGAGTATCTCCGAAATATGAGTATATAGACGGAAAAATTTGCCGAACCACAATGAAATATTAGGATGTATATCACAATCAATATTATTGACTAAATAAAACTCTGAGTTTGGAACTTATCTGTTCTAATATTCGATACGATTCAATAGTAACCTATGCAGATATTCCGACTTTTAATCAGGGCTACATGTAAAAATGACGCTAACTCATGCCAGTTAACGAGAGTGTGGAAGTCAGTGGATGATATAGTGATTGCGATAATCGAACAACTCAGAGTGAGCGCTGTGAATGAGACCACGGCATCAGTGCTGTGGCTGCAGTGGTGCAGAGGACGCGGCAGGCGCGTCTGCTCTTGCTGTGAACGCGTGTAATCTCGCTAGGCACAATACATATTAACAAAGAAACAGATAAGGACACAAAACGATAAAGAACGTTTTATTAAAGCAGTATATTCATTTGAATGCCTCACGTGGAAAATGATTGTGGATTATAGCTTCAACCGAATTGATTGACGAGAATGTTTTACTAAGTTTTGATCATTTTTTCTGGCATGCAAATGCCTAGAAATTACAGGCTTGATTTTGCAAAGTTGTTTTGAAGTTAGCGATTTCATTCTAAAAATGTAGTCTTTGAATAAGCAGAAAAAAATATTTCAATTAGGGCTTATCAAATCAAAGTAGTATCAGTAGAAAGAAATTGAGTGTTAAATTACAAAAGAAATGCGAGTGCTGTTCTGACACGGCATACTGAATCTACTCGAGACTAAATTATTCATGACGCCTGAACAGAGAGAATGAGTTGCGTAGAATGCGTTAAAGAAGATATTATAATATTTCTACCAAAAATAACTAAAATACATTACGATCTGCTTCTGATCGTGATAATTCCTGCAAACAATCAATCCTTCATCTTTTAGATATCTGATCTGCGTGATCACTTTTGTGAATCTGAATGAGCGTAGTTTTTGATTTTTTGATTTTTTGATTTATTTATTTATTCACACAGGAGCACACGTTACAATGAAAACATAAAAAGAGACGTGAAATAAAATAGCAAGGCTTCCAGGTGAATGCCCATAAGCTAAAAAAGCTTCGCAGGCAAAACAATAGGTATGTCTCGAATGCAGGATTTTTTCAAAGATCTTATTAAGAAATGGCAAGGTTGATATTGGACGATAATTACAGACATTGTGCGGGTCACCGGATTTAAAAATAGGTATGACGCGAGCACGTTTCAGTGAATCGGGATACACACCACAGGATATACATAGGTTGAAAATATGAGCCAAAACTGGTGCTACAGTGTCAGCTACAAGATACAACATTCTTGGATGAACTTCATCGATCTGAAGTGGCTTGCCCTTGCACAACCGTAAGAATTTCTTAATTTCAAGTTCAGAAGTGGGGAAAAGAAAGCAAGATGCCTCACAGATAGGAATTTCATGCGACACATTATTGTTCACTGGACCTAAGTTTTTAGTTAGTTAGTCTGAAACTTGAAAGAAAATCGCTTGGTTAAAAAATAAACCACTATTTGGCATGAAGACAGTTTGGTTGGATAATGAAGATTGAATATACGATGAACTTTCAAAGTAATTAGAAAGTATTGCTTTTCCGCAGTTAATAAATCTTGTGTCTCAGTTTAAGGAAGTTAGTATGCTGGTAAGAAAAATACCAATTAATACAATTGTTTTTGATTTGTATTCACCTCATTTTAAACAACATAAACAAGTTGCACATTTGCGTTCGCAAGAATATATTGACGAGAACAAGACTTCAGTTCCTGACGGAATATTTAAAAATTAAATCTAAGAAAACTCGGAATCCAGGTCATATCATGAATATTCTTTGAGGGTACACATGAACGTAGAAAAATTTAATCTATTGACAGATCAAGAATTGACTGATGATTGTTCTGGAGATTGTAAATGTCACAGCATTGCTCGAGCCTTGCCAACGGATCAATAAGCAAATAAACATTTCTAGGTATTGCACAAAACCTTACCAATTTGTCACTTGAAATCAGCAGGAAGTTTATCTGGCATATATATAAATATATATATATTACCTGAGACCCTGTATTTGCTTTACAATACGTTAATTTCATAAATCAATCGAAAAATATTAAAACTGCAGTTTTTCGCACCAGAAAGTTCTAAGGATTGCCAAAATATATAAAATTAAAAAAAATTACATTTCCTGAATAAAACTGTTTACCATCATTGTTCGATCCAAATCAAAGTGATTTTTCTATCCAAATCTTAAAGTGATCTTACACAGGATAGAGGCATCTTCACACGTTCTATTTCATTAGCGCTTCACTCTGCTAGACAATCGATGGGGCAAAGCGCGGCACAATCTCAAAGGTGCTGCGCGATCGACTTGCTCCCGGAGGTGGCATAGAAATTGGTCTTGGTCAAGTACACTTGACCATGAACCATTTCTATGCATTCCATGACAAGTCTCTTCAATACCAATCATTTACACTGTGCTAATTACAGACTGTTATTAATTTATTAATGCATATCTAATTGATGACAATTACCAACCAGGATTATTAAAGTAAGTAAATGTTGCGTTTGAATATTATTGCAATCTATTATCATTGTGTGCTCATAATGTCTTGCAATTTTTTTACCTTCTCGAAATTCTTCAATTATTAGAACGTTTGACAGACAGCATTACAGTAACGTGAGGTACTCAAAATTTCTGACAAAATTATAATATATTTCTAATATACATGCAGTTATAGTTTATCTTTTCTTGCCTACACAGTACACATTCATTTTTATTGTCATTGATTCAGTAAATCAATAACCTAGAATGAAATGAATCCTGCGAAAGCCGGTACCGGTATTCTGTCCTGGAAAAATGTGCATTTCTTTAGCAATCAATCGTTTACAAAGACCTCACTGAGCTACTTGAAGTTCTGCATCATGAATAATAGGGTAGAGGCAAAAATATTTAAATTAATAAGTGCTCTCAATAGTTAGTAATGATAAAGATTCAAGAATATTCACGGTCTCAATCACATCTTGAACTTAGAGTGTGGTTTAACAATTCAGATATTCTGTGCAGAATATAATAGAAGACATCAAGTTTAAAGATATTGTAAATAATATAATAATATATAGAACATAATAGAACACATTAAGTTTCAAGGAGGTACGATGGGAATTTGTTCGTCAAGTTTACCGTGGGAGCAACCGACCTCGGACGGTGGCTCGTATGGTGACGACAATGAGAGAAAACCCAATGTTTCGAAAATGGTGAGAGTGAGTATCAGTGCACATTAAAAACATTATAATTATATTATCATTACTATTATTATATTCATGATTAAAATTTCGTGATCTATTTACAGTTATATCATTTTTTATTGAAAATTTTCATTTATGAGGGTTACTATTAATGTATATTGTATACTGATATGGGAAATAAATTCATAAAGTCAATTCGACATTTACTCCTCCACAGTTTTACGAGAAGCTCCTGGCTATGCACAAAATTATTATAAATATGTTTTTCTTTTAACTCCCTATTGGAATACTAAAACCCGGAAACTCGAAAAGAACATCTAAGCTTCTTCATCGCTTAATTTAAAACAAAAATGGGGAATAATTCTCTCGGTTATTTCATAGCTTCATCAAATACATTATAATTTCTAATATTCATTTTGATAAGAGTAAAAATTAAATTGTTTAAATAAATACTACGTGATATTTCCACCCAGGGAGGAGGCAACATACTTCCCAGCGACACAGCTGATGTCCGCCCCAAGACTGGGGAGGAAGGGGAAGAAGAATTACCTCAGGGGAAATTCGTGAACGGGAATCTCGGTGTTGTGGTGGGTAATGGACTCAATAATCCAATAAATTGTTCCTGAAAATGTGATAAAAGGTAGAAGTTTAATAAAATCGATTATGCAAGACAGAAATATTTGGAATAGTTAGTCACTCAAGAAATCGAGTCAGTTATCACCAGTAATTTATTAAAGGTACCAGAAATGATGCATCTAAATCGGAGTTAAACAACTTATAATATTGTTTGCTGCTAGCCGAATTGATAAAATTTTAATTTTTTCTTGCCGGGAGAGATTTTAAATTCCAAATCTAATAATTGAGATTAGCAATGCGATAACCATCAGAAAATCTGAACTTTTTATGATATAAATGAAAATCAGTTTTTCTAATAATATAAATTAATTCATGTAAGAACTTTCTGTTCATATAACAAAGGTGCACACGGGCACATATATATTTAGAGAATTCCCCATGTACGGTGTGATATAACAAATTTTAGTCAGACCAACCTGAAATTTAGTGAACAATAATTGAAATTTGTATATTTTGAAAATGATTAAAATTAATTAATTAACGACATTCTGCACAAGGGAACACAGCAAGGCACGTATTGGTCGAGGGTTGCTGGTAGTCAAGCAACGGTCTAATACACAAGCCACAGCGTTTGTGACCTTATTGATCACTCAGAGCGCTTTTTGTTGAAGGCTACCTGACCTATGTACTGGATAAAGTATGATCATAGATTGATAGACCACACGCCAAAACTTCCGTACTCTAATACCTCGTGCTATTGGAAAATTGTGTGGTGAAATCGGCAAAAATCTTTCGCAATCGGGATAAGGACGCTTGAAATTTCCCAACTTCTGAACACTTCATGCATCCGGGAATGTTTGATTTTCTTTTAATTTAATGAATATGTCCACAGGCCTGTGTCCAATCCAATTAACTAAATTTTCACCAGCTAAACATCACCGTTAGGTCATAATGAATGTGTGTACCAAGTTTCATTTAGCTACGTTCATTACTTTGAGAGATTTTCCTTGTTCACTAAATCTGAGGAAACTGGCCGCGGTCCGGCTGCGAATCCGGCCGTAAAATTTTCCGACACGTCATTGACTGAATGCCCAAGACATGATAAAACAAAACAGTTTTATATACCTTTATTAAGCAGTATTATCTGCGTTAAACTAATGAACGGATTCAAACAGCGACCAGTTCCGAGATCCTGTGTTTTATTTACCAGGAGCCGGATTACGTGGTGCAGCTGCAAAAAAACCTCGCCGACGGGGAGCTGTTCGAAGACCCTGACTTCCCAGCGGTGATGGAGTCGGCGTTCTTCTCGAGCCGTCGCTCCACCACCATTGAGTGGCGGAGACCGAAGGTCAAAGCGAATCTTTTGAATTTCTATTATTATTTCATTCATTCAATATTTATTGCAAGCCAAAATTTTTGCTAGTCGTTGTCCGGGATGGAAAATTCTTGAAATTTGATAATCACATTTTTCCAAATCCCGTCATGCTGAATCCGATCATTCCGAACCACATCATCTCAAATCCATGTAATAATTCTATACTAAACTACCGTAACTAAACATTGCCCTGAACAAATCTACATTTAGCTCGGAACTCACAATAGATAATTTTTCTTTTCGAATGAAATCACGATTGTCGAAGTAAAAATCATATTTTAATTTTTAAGTCTGTTTCTCCCCCTCCATCTTTCAATTTTGCGGGATTTCACCATCATATAAATGAAATTCCTTGGAAATGTCCTGAAACGACAAGTATCACGATCGCGTACCGAGACAACCCCTGTAAATTTACGGTTCCTGGCTTCAAGCTCTCACATATATATATACATAAAAGAAAGATTTCCTTAACGAATATATTGTTTATTACTAATACATTAAACACGAGGCATTCGTGATTATCGATGACTATTATTTTGTGCTCTTTAAAAAACACCCCGGAAATTGTATAATAATCGAATAAGCTGGCTCTCATTCAGCTCAATCAATCTGTTCCTTGTAAATTGGACCATCCTGTCCGGCAACCCATGCTGCTCCCAGCATGGATTGCTCCAGCATTGAAACAGCTCCATCATTTAAACAGCCCCAGCATTTAAACAGCTCCATCATTTAAACAGCTCCATCATTTAAACAGCTCCATCATTTAAACAGCTCCATCATTTAAACAGCTCCATCATTTAAACAGCTCCAGCATTTAAACAGCTCCATCATTAAACAGCTCCAGCATTTAAACAGCTCCATCATTTAAACAGCTCCAGCATTTAAACAGCTCCATCATTTAAACAGCTCCAGCATTTAAACAGCTCAATCATTTAAACAGCTGCATCATTTAAACAGCTACAACATTTAAACAGCCCCGTTGTGATGTCTGTTTCCTTCTGTTCAGGAGCTGGCAGAGAATCCTCAACTGTTTGTGGACGGCATCAACAGAAGAGACGTCGTACAAGGCTCGCTAGGAGACTGTTGGTTCCTGTCATCTTGCTCTGCTGTAGCCAGAGAAAAGAAGCTCATTGAAAGAGTAAGTTCTGCAACGTAGGTGGAGAAAGTGAAACTAATAAAAAACTGAGAATTCGACAGAAGTAGGGTAATTCATTGGTTATTCCTTCAGAATTCAAACTATATCATACATGAATCGCCTTTTCCATTCTCGAATTACCATTCCACGACACCCTTTCATAAAATTATGACAAACGATAATGAGAATGACGATAATAATGATAATGATAATGATAATTACGATAATTAAAATGATAATGATGATAATTAAAAGGATAATAATTAATAATTATAATGAATACCCCTCTTTTCATCAGGTGTTGGATCCAAATCAAGCACTGCACGGAGACAAGCACACAGGTCTAATCGTCTGCAAGTTCTGGCGTTTCGGCAGCTGGGCGACGGTGTGCATTGACGACCGCCTACCCACGCGGGGCGGCAAGCTGCTCTTCGCTCGCAGTTCCGATGACAGCGAATTTTGGGTGGCGCTCCTCGAAAAGGCCTACGCAAAGTTAGCCTATTCGTTTACTTTTTGAATATGAATATATTGTTCTATTATCTTTCCAGAATTAAGGTAGGTGTTCAATCAAAATTATTTATTTAAGAGTGAAACATACATTTTTTTACCGAAGTAGTAATTGCGTCCCATTAAATTCTTGATCGCGGGTATCCATGGTTTAAGAGATTTAATATTCTCATACAAACACAAGTGGCGACTGTCTCGTCTAAAATTTTACCCTTGTTTGAAATTGCTTTAGCTAGATTTGTCTATTTTTCATACTCTTTCTGTTTCTATTTTCACTCTAATATTTTGTATTTTTAACGTTAATGCCTCTACACATGTGAGTATTTTTGGGCAAAGATAAAATACAGTATTGAAAACGAATTAATCAAAGTATGAGTAGGTTACGCGAAACATATACGTTAGTTAGCAATTACGTTGTTAGAAAAAAAAGTTAGTTATCAGATAAATATAAGTATCAATTATTCATAATATTCAGAAGCTTTGCATCTGATACACTAACCTAAAACAGACTTCACGGTTCGTACGAAGCCATGGAAGGTGGACAAAGCATGGACGCTATGGTGGATCTCACTGGAGGTCTCGCCGAGCGCCACGATTTCGACGAGAAAGCAAATCTTCAGAAAATTTTCAAGCACATGTACAAGCTTTTGCGCAATGGAGCTTTCATTACCTGCTCACGAAAGGTGAGGATATCAGATCCTGAATAAAAAATACAAAGAAGAATTGTGTAAGAATTATACGATTAATTTAAAAATAAGCAATTTTGGCAAGGACCTTCCTGTACCATATAACTACAAACACGATACATTTTTACTCATATTCAGCTGGCTGTATAAGCTGATATATGAACACTACGACTACTTTTCGGGAATCCAACATCAACACAGTTTCATGACTTTTTTAATTTCGATTCAATGGAAGTGCGAATAAACACAACAATTTTTTAACATTATTTTTGGAGTGATTTGCGATTTACTTTAAAATTATCCGAACTCAAAAAAGGGCGATTGGCGCATGGCGTACAAAACAGACGAGAACGGCCTCGTGGAAGGCCACGCGTACACGGTCACGGCGGTGACACGCGTGCGTCACAAAGACCTCGGAACCGTCAACCTCGTCAGGATCAGGAACCCCTGGGCCAACGATGCCGAATGGAAGGGAACATGGGGGGAAAAGTGAGGCTTTCGTTAGATCAATTAATCAATGAAGTTTCTTCTGAATCTGAAGTGTTGGTTTTATAGATTTTTTTTTTAGTACATCAGTGTACCTGTTGTGCTCCAATAATTGTGGGAAAGTTTCATTAATAGGAAGAGCATTATATAAAATTTTGACTTGGTACACAGCGATCGCGTTTGGGAAGGCGTGTCAGAGACGCAACGAGCGAAGCTGCGTCAGCAAGAGCAGCATGGCGACGGCGAGTCGTGGATGTCGTACGAAGATTTCGCGAAGCAGTTCGAGGAAGTGAGCATCTGCATGATGGGACCGGACTTTGACGCTGACGGCGACACGGACAGAGTTGAACGGGTGATGATTGTGACAAAATAATTTCATTTTGAAAAAAAAGTATCAGAGATAAGAATTAAAAATGTCATTACTTGCAACATTTTCATTAAACTACCGTGATCGGTTTTCCTGCTCGTTAAAACCGCTTAACAATGTTAACAACCTGGCGAATGATATATGTCTAGATTTGTTACTTCATCTTTTGGCATAATTTTTGCGTCTTATGAATAACCATGAGGAACTAGCTTTTTCCAAAACGATGTACCTACAGTCTTTTTGACAATTGGAGTATTTAGCGAAGAAATAGAAGACATTTTTCTTTTTTGGCAAATCCGACCTGGACATCATCAGACTCGCGACATCCAAGGATCTTGGCGAGCAGGAATTAACGCGGGGGGCTGTCGTAACAACTTCGAGCTTTTCTCCACGAACCCGCAATATCTACTTCAAATTATCGACACTGGTGAGCGTGCTGACAAAAGTTATCTTGAAGCATATTTATTACGGGAAAACTGAGTCCGATATTCTTTCGCAATTGTTTACGTTTTTTAGCTGAAGAAAAAGCGAGCTCAATACAATATTATAAATGATTTTCTGTGGTATTATAGCACAATCTATATCTTATTTCATAAAGATAAGAAATGTGAAATTCCAAAAATTTTCTCTCGTTAACAAATGTTTTTCAACTAAATATGTGCGTTATGTTAAGCGGTGGTTTTTGTTCGTAGGCAGTAATAGTTTGAACGAAGAAGACCTCGATGACGAGGAAGATGATGCAGAAAACAACGGCAAAGCCAATGTCCTGGTAGCGCTAATGCAGGAGCACCGACTATCCATAAAGGACACGGGAGTGAAGATGTACCAAATCGCCGTGGTCATCTACAAGGTACGATCATCTAGTTGTGGTAAAGTGCGAATTGTCATGGTCGCATGTAAGCTCCGATCGACTCCGAACTATGGTACGATGCAGATGGCCGGGTTCATCAACGAGGTGCGATCTATTCCAAGTCGGGGTACGTTACGGTTCGACACTCAGCGGGCTGGCACTAAGTCAAGTGCTGTATATTTGCAGATTCGAGCCTAATTTGCTTGTACACGGGGATAGTGCAGACGGCTAGTAGATCTGACAGTTGCCAAATGTCTGCTGCTTTGTGTCTATCACGCAAGTAAGATTAGACACGAGGCAAGTTTAAGGTGCCGCCGTGCCGGTATCTAGTCGTTACCGGCACGGCGGTAGACATTTGGCAACTGTCAGATCTACTAGCCGTCTGCACTATCCCAGTGTACAAGCATTTAGCTATGTAGCTAGGGCAAAATTCTGTTCGTTATCGTCGAATTGGCAGGGTGGTTAAAAATTGCAAGATTGAATCCGTGAGCAGTAGGCTTGAGAGCCAGCTATCTGTGATAATTCTGTGATACCTGGAGTCGGCAGGGCAAAAATAGCCCTATCATGGGCAATTTAATGGTCCAGAAATTGCTTATCTACTGCTGTGTTATCGTCCACAGTGTGATCCACTTCAAAATGAGCTTCCTTTTATTTTCAGTTTAATTTTGTTCTATTTGGCAATAAAATTAACTCTGGTAGGACCAGAGTTAATTCTGAAGCCATAAGAATAATATGAAACTCTGCTCTGAAGCCATAAGAATAAAAACAATTTTGCAGACGGCTGACCCCGACCACAGGCTCCCGAAGAAGCACTTCATGTACAACTACGAGGTAGGAACGTCAGGAGTTTACATCAACTACAGGGAGGTTCTGGCCAGGCTCGATCTGGAACCTGGATACTACGTGATCATTCCAGCAACTTTCGAGCCCCAGTGCGTCGGAGACTTCATGATCCGTGTGTTCTCTGATGGCAATTTCACTTTAAAAGAACTAGTGTGATGAGATATAAGTGTTGAGGATAATTTGCAAACAACAAATTATACAGTTAAAAGACACCCGAATAGCCGAAATTGGATACATGCACGTGATATTCCTAGAAGTGCTAACTGACGGGTTTGTTGCTATTTCAAACTGATAGTTTGTTATTTTTTTATTTTTTTTTATAGTTCCCAGAATTTCTTGTTGTCGTGTCCCTCTCTAAAAATTACCGCGTACCGAGAACAAGGCATATTTGTTGCAAAAAATTAGTATACGTTGCATTTTATTTATTATCCGCTAATGATGATCGCGTCGAGTACGAATAATGTTTGAATTTAATTAACGGTTGCCGATGGAACCTGGTTGAAGACGTAGAGCGGAAGAAGAATAATCTAATTCCAGCCAGATTATCTTTTGTTACTTAGTGAACATTTTTTTATGTAATGGATTACTAAAAGTAGTTCGTGTCGATTGAGTTTCATGACCTCGAAAGTGTTCGCGAATCACATTCTGGAAGCTACTGCGTTAATGATTCTACTTATGAAAGTTGAAACTTTTCAAATTATTTCAGTCTGAATTATTGAAATCAAACTTATAGTAGTGTGCCATTTTCAGAATTTAACGCTAAGAGTCTAATAGTCTAAATCGAGGCTGGATGCCAAATTGTATCTTAGTGGATAATTTTTAGACTTAGCCAAAGGTATTATGTAAAGATAATAATTTGATTGCAACTAACATTACGTAAGCACAAAAAATATAGAACGCGTTGATCACAATTCACTTTAAATTTATCACTTCGTTAAGAGTCGACATTGTTTCTTCATTAGTTGTCTTAGTGATCATCAATGTAAGCTTACATTCGCCATTTATTTACTTCATTAATTTAACAGGCATCATTCGTTTATCTAAATCCTTTGATTTGCATTACACGTATTATAAGAAGACTGACTCAATGAAATTTCTCTAAGCATTGAAGAATACGTCATTTCAAACGATGATTATTCAAACATATATATTCGCTACGTAATGTTTATTGTCAATAGAATAGCTGGGATGCGAGCTCTTGTAGATGACGAGCTAATGCACAAAGAGGGACGCTATTGTGCGTCCAGTCAGTTCAACTACAAATTAATGTATATCAGTTATTTACGGTTTTCGATGATTTTTATAGTCAAGAGGTGATTTAAATCATAACTATGAAGATCTATAATCGATAAATTTTCGTTTATTCTGAATCTTGCTCTATTATCGCATGACATTTAAAGATTCTCGTCTGACATTTGATGATCATAACGGCGGCGTTTTTGTGCTCTCAATCTCGACCAGAAAATAAGATTGTTTCACTCGAAACTGATGCGGAACACGAAACTTTGTCAATTATGAATCAACCGACACCTTGCATGATAATTTAATCTGTGATACCTTCTACAGGCTAGAGGCAACTTTGTCTCTAGCTAGAAGTAAGTGAATGGAAAGACTTTGTTTACTAATAATACTGTGATCCATCCTATACTTCATACCATGTTGACGGGTAAGATTGTGAAATGCTGGCCTAGTGTATCAATGATGTTAGATGTTATTAGTTGCCTATCTGCTGGCGTGCATATCAAGTTATCAACAGCGTTTTCTAACGATTATCTGCTGACGTGCATATTAACAGCGTTTTCTCACGATTAAAAGCTTTTATCAATTTTATAAATACCCTATCTGCAATAAAGTCAGTCACCACTGGACTCATTTCAGCGCCTGTCAGCAAAAACTATATAATTGTGGTCTATGTAACTTTGTGGCTCAGATATGTAACTTTATGGCTCTGGGTAAAACACAAAATGTGTGGAATCTTGTTTTCAGGAGAGTATATAATTTCGTTTGTAAGATATAACGTTTCTATAGAATAAGTATTAAAGTAGTAGCTTTTCTAGCGCTTCAGAAAATCTATTCTATTGCATGACGCAGACCTGTGAAGTGAATACTGTAAACTCGAGTGCCATTGACGGTAGGCACGCTAAAATAATCAAATTTTTTCCATCATTCTAGTAAGCGTGTTCGAGCAGTTTTCCACGCAAGTGTTCCGATTTTTATCAGGTCTTTACCATGGAGTCTAAACACGAGCGTGTTCTTCGACGAAAAAATTTTCATTCGGTTCCATGCTTTTATTTCATGGCAATTCCTTGCAGATTTTCGGAATTTTCCGGTTGCTTCCATCAAAATGAGCATCTACCTTATATTATTCGACCTTAAGGCGTACCCGAAACCATGAAATCAGTAGCCCGAGACCGGTTTTAAGCTAACCTCAAGTACTTCGAGACCATGTTGACGCACGTCTTCAAATAAAATTTCGAGGAAATGACGAAACTAAATTTCTAGGAAATACTATTCCGCGTGATATGTATACAATTAAGCCTTATCCTCGTGAATACATGACCAACCACTTATTTCTCAGAGAGCAATTAATATACAATGAAGATTACGGTGAAAATGTCACGTAATGTCGTAATGGAGTTAGAATTCGTTTCAAAACTTCTTTGCACCTGAGAATTCTGTAAAAAACAGGTAGCAAAAACTTTGCCTCAGGGCTGACTGTCGTCCAGAGTTGCAGCAATCGCCTAACAAAGATGACATCGCTCAGCTGATGATCAAGACCGAGTGATGAGGTATGAAGGTAGGATAAAAACAAGACGAATGTTCCATTATTCATTGGACACGTCGACAGAAAGATAACATGGGAATATTATGACAAGACGATGTCCTCAGGTGGACAAAATAATATATCAAGCATTGAGTAAAAGAGTTTAAATAATAATAAAGATAACAAGCAACCACAACTGAAACAATTAGAAAATCCAATACTTGGCTAGCAAAAAAGAAATGCACTGTGAAAAAACCGGTAAGAGCCTCATCGATGCTTCAAGCTGTGAACAATAATAGCTAATGCGTGATAAGAGAATTAGTACATCCATTGAAGTCCGAACTCATTTCCCGGCAGAGATTAAATAACTAACACATGTCACGGTCATTGACAAGACAACCGCAAGTCCAGACGAGGTAGGCAAAGTTTGAATCATTTCGTGATCTTCAACATCCGACTATCGTCATACGCCCTTGTCAAGAAGCATCCGTACGATGAAAAGTAATGAAACAGTTATTAATTACGTATCACTGGAGAATTAATACAAAATATGAAACGCCCACCTTGTGATACTTCAACGGTTGAAATAATATCAACAGCTGCCTTACTACTGCATCCTGTCATCAAACAAATTCAACCTCCTTCAGCTATCGAGCCTCCATGATAGTGTTGATAAAAATTCCTCAGCATAATAACAAAACGCTAAAGTTAGGAGACAAAACACATTGAAATTCGATGAAACAGCATGACGTGACGATCGACAAAAAATTTCAAGCCTAATCGAGAACGAAATAAAGTTCAAATCAAAAACAGTTTTCCGAATTTGAACATGAAGTTATGAGACCGTTACGAGGAAGAAAATAAAACCCATAACAAATTGATTCATGAGCATAGGGACATTTAATTAAGTCACTTATGTGGACGGACGGACGAACGCGTATGTAAACCACTCCAAGATTCGAGTTGTTCACAGAACGAAACAAACAGCCTTTCTAACCGGTCAAGGACACGTCGACTAACCCAGCTACATCTCACTAACAGGTGAATAATACCTCATTTGTTGTAAGTATATTACTATTTACACAAGAACATGAGACTACAATTTGAGGACCAGCCCGAGTATTATACTGCTTGCACGTGCTTAACCAATAGTGATGTTACGCATTACCAAGTTTCTAACAGCACGAAAAATATCCAGTCAGTCTAAAAGCATCTAAACAAAAGCATTCCCTGCAATTTGAAGGAAATAATATCAAATGTATAAAAAATATTAATTAAGAGTAAGTAAAACCAGGAGTGCTCACCAATAACCAAACACATTGCATTTAACGAATTGCTAACTTGAATACGTGCTCGAACTAGTCTGGCTGACTAGACATGCCATTAGGTGCAAGCTATCCCGCACATCACATCATCCGATCACGCACATCGGACACCACGAAGCAATTATATTGGTAGAAAACGAGATGAAGCTTTGAATAACTCACATTATTCACTACTCGGTGTAAGGAAGCCAACCATAGATGATCAGCCGCCATCATTTAAATATTAATAATGTTCACCGATGGCTAGTGTAAACAAGCATAGTATCTAGAATGAAATTCACCGCATTTGACAATTGAATTCAACCATATTAAAATTTAATTTGTTCAAATCAATCAAGATTAGTTGGAGCGCAAATTTCCCTACCAATGTGCAACGCTTCTAGCAAAGCTTAATGAAATCCTTCATTCCCATAGGACTAAATTACATAAAAATGCAATCAATCTGAAAATGGACCCAGCTTTACAAGAAACAAAACATCGCTAGAGATCAGCTCCTCTAAGTTTATAGATGAACGTAAGTAAGAGGTTCACGGCTGCATCAAAAATTTTATTTACAGACCAGCTACGAGTTTCATGGAGAGTGCACGATTATCTACCGAAATATTAGGACTCAAAAACATCAGAAAAGCTAAAACCTGCAACCATTACTCAGAAATAAGAAGCACACACCAGTGAGCAGCAACACCCAAGGTTCAGACGTCCACTGAAGAAACATCATCCGAGTGACATTAAATAAGTTAAAGAGTTCAGAAACTTCCTTTAGAGCGGATAAAACCAACGGTCATAGCAAGCAAAATTAATAACATGCCAGTGTGAAATAAGAATGTGCATTGCCAGAAATGATTTTGGTCATTCAAACGCCAGGCAATAAAATAAAAGTATATAGGTACATATATTCACCCACATTATTATATCAAGTTGAGCACGCAAATTTATATAGCGATTCATAAGCAAACTCCCGTCTGGTCATTGATCATAAAACAATATAAATTTAAATTACTGTACTTCCAATTAGTATTCCCTTCCTTGCACACAACGGCATGTGTGTTATAATGCTACGCTATCAAGTGTGGACTTAATTATTCTTAAGCACACGAACAGTAATCGCCCATTCGAGAAAAACTTCAAAGAACTACATTCGTAAAACATAAGACGATTTTGGTCACTAAATTATTTTTCTGACCTTCACAATTCTATGTCTTGAGAATTTCATCGAGTGATATTTAATTAAATTGGATAGCTAGGGCAGGCGCTAACAGCTACGATTTACACTCGATCGTCCAACGATAGTAAAAGACGAAAAATAAGGACCAGGTTGCTGAGACCTTAGGAACTATTAAAGGTAAGTATCAATTTATACAGCTTAATTTAATTCTTAGATATAGATCACATTCTCCTGCTGACATACAAAAATTAGGAAAAATTAGTTAAGTTCGCCTCCAGCAACCAGAATAAACTCAGTAGAGTATAGCCTATACAAAGATAGCAAAAAATGACTGAAGTCGTGGAGTGCTAAACAAAAGCAACGAAACTTGAGAAAAAAACACAGCCAGAAAGCCTTACTTTGATTTCATTTCCATTAATAATTCTGTTGTACGCGGAATCAAAAGCTGAAAATAACTCTTGCAAAGGCTGATAATGATAAACCTTTGCACTACAGATTATATCAAGTCTGAGCTTTTCAACTTCAAAATACTACTGAACGAGCTCGTCTGAGTTGCTGGAGGCGAGCATCATCTCGATGCTGTCATCATGAATAAGTAGGACAAACTAGATACAAGATATCAACAGAAAATTACATTAGATACCAATTGCTAATGCAACAAATAGCTATCAGGTGAGGTCACCAGTAAGGAAGAGGCAAGTGATACGGCGATATTTTCACTTGCAGTAAAGGTAGGTATATTCTTTGTAATTCACAGTATAATTTGAAATAACACGGTTGAAACGACACTGTTAACGTCTCTTTATCTAAGTAATGCACATGGACCTAATGATAAAGGGTCATAATTGGAGTGGATGTAAAATAATCTAATAGAATAATTCTATTAATTATCAGGCACTACTTTATCTAACACTCGTTCACAAAACACTAGGAAAGTCTGGAGCGTTGCAAATGTCTCAACAATCAGCAACGAACCAAACGACTTCACGACGCAGAGGGAAAATCAAATTATAACTAATGAGGCACTCGAGATATTTAAACCACACACTGGTAATAATAGCCAGTTTCAATTCTAACAAAATTCACTCTTACTGGGAAAGCTAATCACAGTATTCACATTAAATCCAGTCTCGATTGTCTTTGTCTTCAAGTTAGTACACTTGTATAATGTAAGTTAAACTACAAGAAAAGTTTGATAATCACTATCAACTCACTTCCTAGTCTACACGTTTGAGATTTTCAATACTAATTTTCCCACTACTTGCTGACGCCTTGCTTGCCTTTGAACTGTTTCTTTTCTTGACGCTTGTTATTATTTGATTTCAACTGACTCAGAGATTGAGCATTTTCAATCGATTTCCTCTCAACTGAAGTTGGTTTGCCATCTAAAGATGACTTTCGAGAGTTGTTCGCGGAAAATAATTGGCGGTCTTCAGCAGCAGGTTTATCTCCTAGCTCTTCGTGACGCTCGGTCGATGATGCTTTCTCTGAAGAAGAATTTCTCTTGTCTTTATTAATTCGACGACGGTTAGGCAAAAGTTGGATGGCAGATGGGGCAGTGCCCTCGGCAAAGGTATCAACTCGTCTGTAGAATAAGATGTACGGAACACGAGGAGCGTAAAAGCGTTGCAACTCGGCTGAAACGATAGGTTTCACACATGAATCATCGTAATGAAGCCAACAATGATAGCCTGGATGATAAACATTGCAAACGTAGTGGCCTTTGTTGGCGTCCTTGCCGTCGTGATAAATGACACTCACGAGTTTATATTTCGTTTGTTCGCCAGACAGCTTCTTGCGTTTTTGCGGGGAGATGAGATCCTTGCTTATCTCGAGGTCGATCGAAAGAGAAATGTCTTTGGTCACCTTCTGCAGGCCGCCGTCTTTGCTGTAAACAAAACGTTTTAGCTGAAGTATCAGTACTTGGGGAAGCTGTTCCAGCAGGTAATGGCTGCTGACAGCGAGCTCTTCTTGAGTGTCCGTGCAAGTGTAACCAGCAACATCGGCTTTACTCACGAACTGGTTCAGTGCTTCTTTCACACTTGTTACAGCTTCATCTTGGATATCCAAAGGCAGTGTAATGAATGGCTCCAAGTTGTTGGTAACAGGCGAGTTCCCTTTCTTGATAATGGCGCGTGACTCACCCCAGAATATTTCACTGATGGGCGAATGCGAGAACTGCGTAGTTCTAGTGATGCAAGCCTTGTTTTTAGGCCCCATGGTCACCCAGTCATCGTTGTTGTCATCGGCTTGACCGTTGGGAAGAACGACAGCAGAGGGAATTTTTTGACCACTCAATTTTTCCTTTTCAAGAGCAGCCAATTTGATGCACTCGTTGAATTCATCATGACTGGCATTCAGAAGAAAAGAGAGCATCTCTTCAGCATCCTGCTGATAGCCTTCCTGAAACTGGGCGCCTGTCTTCTGCAGTAACATCTTCTGCACTGAAGAAGGCTCAAAAGGATCACCAGACTGCAGCTCCGGTAAGTTAACAACGTTCTGGCCTGCTTTCTTGCGAGCGCGTACGTTAAGGTTGACAGCGCTGGTGTTCATTGGCCTAAATTCGTTTAAATATGTTATGATGCTATGTGAAATTGGCATTGTGTGGGGAGTAATGAGGGAACCAACACGTTGCTGCATTTCGCTGTAAAGGTTGACGAACTGAGGGACAGCAGTGAGAGATTGCAGAACTGTGTTGGAATAACACCAGTAGTTCTTGTTAGTCAGGCCCCGAGGTTGAAGCATCACGTTACTGCTGTCAGCCTTATACTCTGACAGGAAATCTGTAACGTTGAATTTAATTAGAAATAGTCTAAAATAGTTGAGAAATATTCTTATCACTGAAATGTCTGAATTACACGTTAATGGTGACAAATAGTAACCAATATAACCAACTGAAACCTTTTCTTCCAGTATTTAAGAACTTTAATAAATTGCATGCTTAAATATATTCTATTATTAGAAAACACAATAACTTTAATTTAGTATAATTACACCAGATTTCATGCTTTCATTTTAGCTAATGTGAGTACGGTGATCATAATTATAGAAGGCTACAAATTTATACATACCGCCAATTTTAGTCTTGTCCATTTTGATAGCTGTGTCATCGACGGGGGGCGGTAAAGAAACGGTGTTGTCGAGCAGCTCGGACGCTGCGGTGGATGCAGGCCCAGCAACAACAATGGCCGAGCACGTGGCAGCAGGAGCAGGCCTGCTTGAAGGCGTTTGCTCGTCTTCCAACTCCAACGCCCCGTTACGCATTATTGGATGTATCACGGCAGTCTGCTCGGTAAACAAAGTATGAGTCACATAATGGCACAACTCCCATGTTATCATGCTATGGTTCAGATTTTAAGAAATAAACATGGGGATGTATAAAAATTCGAATATACACACACGCACCCATTAGGTCCCATTATAAACAAACAGAAAGAGCTTACCTTGACAGTTCGGCCAGACATGTTGCCCTTGAAAGTTGCCTCCCAGTTTTTGCTCTTGCCCCAAGCTGAAGGAGCAGCTGGTTCATTAGCATTGGCAGCTGATGAAAGATGAGAAGATTCAGAGACAACGGTTCGTTGCTGGTCCTCCTCTTGCACTTGCTGTTGTTGCTGTTGCTGCTGCAGCCGTTGCTCTTGTTGAATCCGCTCACGTTGTTGCTCTTGTTGCTGCGGCTGTTCAAGTTGGTGCGGTTGGTTTTGTTGCTGTTGAGGTGGCTGCTTCTGTCGTGGCTGCTGTTCTTGTTTCTGCGTTTGCTTTTTATTCGCCGAAGGAAGAGGAGGCTTCTCAGCTGTCCCTGCATGAACATGCATCACAGTAGGAGCGCTCTCGCTGGACAGAGCTTCAGACATCACAGCAGTTGCTACAACCGAAGTGACTTCAGCTGAGCAAGGCGAGGCGTCTGCAGAGATGGAGGTTGCATGAGGTGAAGATACCAACTTCTTATCGGAGGACAGCAACTCTGATGATTTTACGGAAGAATTTTCCAACATTGGACTCGTTTTGGAACCTGAAGCTAATGAGGGAGAAGTGATGCCCCCGCTAGACTTTTCTGCAGTTACTCCGCCTTGTTTTACTTCATTGGAGTGCATAGGTGCCAGTCGATCAAGATTTTTTTCAGGTATTTCACCAAAGTTGAGAACAGAATCGCTGCCAGACGCCATAACGGATGTGGTATCAAAAACAGGATTTGACGATGTTATACTGATATTTTTGAATGGCGCACATGAGTTATGATCAGAACGAAGCTTGAAATTTTCACGCTGATTTTGACTTTTCCGAAGTTCCTCAGTAATGCTCTCAGGAGAAAACTCTCCAAAACTAAATGAAAATGAATAACTTTGCTCATGACTAGTTTCGAAAATTGGGATGATTTCAGAATCATTGGCCTCGTTGCAAGGGCTGCTAGGTGTTACCTCATAAATTTGGGAGTTGCCATTTGGAGCTTCAGAAGTTTGTGCTGTGATGAAATCACCCCCGATTAAACTTGCAGCGTCGTTCCCAGCTTGGCTTGTATCAACTTCAATGTTAGCATATTCATGAGCTAGCTCTTCCATCAAAGGAGCATGAATCGACTGGTGGCTTGAAGTAACATATGCCGCATACACAGGAACTGCCTCGTTCTGCGAGTCTCCAGCAGTTGTGACTACATATGAAGCAGTATTTGAAGACAATTCTAGAGTGTCCGAAGTTGCAGAGGTGAAGTTCACAGAACAGACTGGTGACGCTAAGGAAGACGCAGTCATATTATCAACAGAAACTTCCTCTTGTGAGAAATTATGCATGCACGATGAGTTATTGCTCTGATAAATCATTCCTGTATTCACTGAATTGGACGAAACAGTTGTGTATGCATTATCATGATGATCAGAAGGAACACAAGACTGAGGGACCGTCACGAAAGCAGTCATATGGTCAGTATAAGAGGCAGATGTGCCAGTATTGGGCACATCAAGATGGTACGTCATAGAGACATTTGGGAGCATCGTGCCATGAGCCGGTATCGGCATAATGTTCTGCGTTCTGGACATGTTATTTTCGCTGATGTAATTCGACGGAACATTAGCTATCAACGGAGCAGTGACGCCAGCGATACCTGTAGTCTCACATGGCGAACTACAGCCGCTGTCTCGTGCAGTGTCATCAACCTGAGGAACATTACTGATCCCCATAGGTACGCCAGGAGCAATTGCAACAACGTTGAATGGAAGCATGTTCGAATACACATAACCATCATTTCGAGGTTGATAAGGTATTGTAGGAGTCATAAAAATGGGAGCTCCTTCAAAAACATTCAGCGAAGCATTGTTGATGTTTTGTGAATCAGTTATCATCCTGCGCGCTCCGTGGACATCTCGGTCATTACCAGGGGCATTTGAAGAGAAATCAGACTCGTTGAAATCACACATCTCTTCATTGATGCTGTTCCGGTCCACTCCACTGCCTATAGATGAGCGGTCGCCTTCACTGCGTCTGGGTAGGCGTTGAGCTCCCGTTTCTCCTCGATGAGACGGCAAGCCCCTGCCACGGGTCATGGCTCTGGTGGCACTCAAGGCTGCATCGCGCGAGGCTTTGGCTCCATGCGGTTGTCTGGAATGTGCTCCGGGAGATGGATAATGAGGTTCATGTTGAGGCTGTACGTACGACATGCCAAAGGGGTAATTGGAGCCAGGCATCGGAACGGCATGATGTAGGCTCATGCCAGGTTGCTGCATCATCGCGCCTGGATTCGCGAGAGGTGAAGCTTGTGCAACGCCTGTGTAGGAACCAGGTGAGTTAAACAGTGAAAGATTTACGAATGAATTGTTAACATGAACCATGGCGTTGGCACCAGGGTTTTGATTGGTTTGCACCTGTGGTGGTTCATGATGACGGTTATTCGGTCCCAATAGATTGTTAGGCACAAATGAAGTCCTGTTTAACATAGGCTGATGTGGGTATCGTGGCAAGGGGTGTTGGTGAATAGAGGAAGTGTCGGACATGCTTGAGATGGGAGGGGTGGAAAGCAGAGGAGACGGAGCAGCAGCGGAAGCTGAAGTCCGAGGTAGAGGCAAAGATGTGCTGGTGGAGGTAGTGGCACTGCCCACAAGGGAGTTGGTCGAGGACGAGTCGACCAACCCAGCATGACCTTCCTCTCGAGCACCACCTGCACACACTAAACCAGCTGCACTACTCGCGTGTGCCTCTGACTTGTCCAACCCACGTCTTCCTTCCCTCTTAATATAACCACAACTCCTGCCTGCCTCTGCTTTCCTTCCAACGCCCATGGGGTCACACATAACGAAAAATTGTGCCAAGTTTTAAGTTTTAACCACTTCCCTGATAAATGGCTATTAATGGTTACTAAGGGTAAACTTTCAATAACATTACTTTTTCATTTGACATTATACATATCCAGTTTAAGCAACAGTCGTCAAGGTCATCAAATAGACAAACTGATGGTCTGAGTAAAAATATAATAAGGCATTATGAAAACAATATGATTGATCATGGCACTTGATACCAAGAAATGAGATATTTCAAGAATTATACAAGATGATATGCTGTATATATGGCCGTATTATGAAAATTTCTATTGGTCCTTTCCATCGAGATTTTAAACAATGTACCGTATCCCCCCATTGATTTCAGTTACTAGTGAGAAGAAATGCTTGGAATTATATTTTTGTACAACACAACTCATAGTTGTATTTTAGCAACATCCAAATTGAAAAGCAAGTCACAACAGGCTGTGATTTAATTACAGAGCATAGTCTTACATTGCTACACTCCTGCCGCTTGCAAATTAACACAGGCAATATCAGTAACAAACAAAAGAAAAACCTAAGTGCGAGTCAGCCTTCAGAAAAATTTGAATTATGATGACTTTAAATCATGCAATTTCTTGGCTTCATCAAGGAAGTGGTTAAAATAACTAGCCAATTAAAAAGGTGAAGCCTAAATGAGAATTTCTGTTTGAATTCATGACCCTGAATGCTTCACAATATCAAATTTAAAAATGAGAGCATGGGATATCCACCAAAGTTTTCAGTGTACACGCAGACTCAAATCAATCAATAAACTGTCAATTTCAGCTATATACAATAATACCATATATACCAAATTATCAAAGATGGTCAACATATGAATTTTCATGCTAAATTTTAAAACTAATATGAATCCAGACCTACTCGTGAGTCATCCTAGTATAATCAATTCAACAGCAGCTAAAATACAAATATTTCGTCAAGATTATACAACAACCTACTAGCTATGCAGATTCTATCAGTACTCACCCTCAGGATGCTGCTGAGCATACAGATCTGGTCTGTGGAAGTACTGGTGCTGTAACAAGGCAGGCGAAGGATAGTGGTAATACGGCGGCATATTCGCCACATACTGCATGGATGACGGGTCGTAAGTTCCGTAACTACCGCCATTGGTAACTGTGTCTTGGTTTGCGTGTTCATGATACTGGTCCTGATACTGCCGGTCATACTGCTGCTGGTAGGAGCCGTTGGGGTATCCATTGAGAGCTTGAGCGTGAACCTGGTAGTTAGGGTTGCGTGTGTTGATAGGAACGTAGGCGGGGCTATTGGCATTCAGGACTGAACTGCACACTGTGTTTTCGTCCGCGCGATATCCGTTCGCGCGAGGTTCGGGTACCTCAAGATCGCCGGACATTGAGTTAGTTCGACTAGCCATGGTCGTGGGAAGTTAAGAACGGCAAGGTAAACTTGAATTTTCAATAATTTAAAATCTTGGGTTCGACATTGGTTCCAGCAGGCTCAGCAGCTGAACGCGTTCGCTCGTGTACGAGGATGTGTTGTGTGTTAGTGTATATATGTTTGTGTGAGCTTCCTCACTGCAGGAGAATGCACCCGCAACAGAGATCCTGAAACAGATAAAAACTCATTAGGATATGTACTTTGTTGCTTAAAAAATGCTCCAAAAACTGATGCTTATTCGAAGAATTCAAAGCAACTTGAATGCAGTCAGAGGAACGCGTAGATTTTAGCAGTGTAACCACACCAATTTATTCTTCACCGTAAAATTCTTCAGAATACATAAATGGCGTATATAAATCATTATGAACGATGCGATAACACGTTAACCGGCGCTTTCGTTGCGTTCTTGACAACACATAAGCTCTTATAACATAATAAGGAACATCTTCGGTCAAATCTTCAACATTTTTAGCAACATTCACCGCACCACTTTCCGACACAACTAGAAGAATAAACAGTTTTCTGTTCTGAACAGCACAGGAGATAGATTTTAAACACATGGTACGTGTTGTCCAGAAGCCACGAAGTATCGGAAATAAATTTATATCCATGCGACGGCAAATTCTTCGTAGCAGCAATTCATTGGATGCGACAGCAACAATTTTCTTCAAATAAATTCTTTCGAAGTTAGAAATAAATCAACAAACTAGAGCTTCTACACTTACTTCGAACAATTTCTTTTTCTTTCGTTGCAATCAAACTGTTCTCAAGTGGGTTTTCTTTTCCGTACGAACACCAAATTTAAAGTTTCGAACAAGAATTATATTTGATTCTAAATCCATTTATTTAAGGATCACCAAAGAACGCGAGCACTTGTATCAATGATACAACTACTACTAACACTTCGCGAGGCAGGTAGGTGCGCCAAGACGAGCGGTACGCAGCGAAGTCTTAGCAGCGATAACCGCACAAAACTAGCGCCTGCAGCAGCGTACTTGAGCTAACACGTGGCCGCGTGTAAAATTCAAAATGGTCTCCCGCGAACGAAAGAAAGTTAATGACGACGACAAACCGCGAATGAGTCGATAGGAAAAAATAACATCGCCCAATAGAAATCTCTCGAAAAATGTGGCATGCCAGGGAAGTGCGCAGAATTGGGCATCAATATATACTTAACACAGGAATAGCGGCTGCTAAGTCGTAAGAGTTAAAGACAAGGGTGCCTCAAAACAATCAACCTACATTACATTCACATGTCAAACAAAAACTGGTTTCAATCGAAACCAATCGTCATACAAACGATTAGAACAATTTGGCCGGAGCATAATTTTCTCCAAATATTCGGAAACACGCTGATGAAACCAAGAGGAATATTACTAGAACACATTCTAATCCACTTTCAAGACTTGATTATTATTTTCAATCGATTGAACAAACGTGGTGCAACAACTTAGCGCACGTAATCAACATCAATGCGGCAGTTATATAAGTGACTCACGAACTTACCGGTTACTCGACAGAACAAATTTCGGAGGAAACTATAGTATTCTATGGAGTGAACAATAGGCACAGCACAAGTACACGTTTCAGTCACCGAAGCTGGACTGCAAGTGAACGATTTCTTGTTAATCTCCTCCAAGCGCGCGGAGAGGCGACCACGCGTTAGGCATAACATGCTCACCAGAAAGGTCGTGAACAAAGATCTGGATAGAATCTCAAGAAAATGACCGTAAAAGGTACTAGCAAAAAAAACGTATTCCCGCCCACTTTGAAACCAGACTTTGAAACACGTGTGAACAAAGAAAAACATGTCATTAGATAATGTAAATTAGATCGGAAATGATTAGCGTTCGCGACTACATCAAAAACTTTTACGAGCTCTTTAAGCGATTAATATAACAATTAATGTTGCATTGAGAAGAGAGAACAATTGTTGCATTGAGATTTAATTTCTTTCGATAGTATTTTTGAATACTATGCGTCTATACATAATTTAAATCACTTTTCCTGTTAAGTTTGTGTACTTACATACATTAAAATACGATTTTTCAAGTGTACGAATATTTATTTCCCCCCACTGTATAACAAAGTAACTGCAAATATTTCAGCCACGAGGAAGACAAGGTCGGATTTGCTCACATTGATCGAATTGGTAGGTCTCATTTTCCCGCCGCATAGTTAGAACTAGCTTCCATGCCGGCAAATGACATCAAACAGTGACCAAATAAATGGAGTATGAGCGTTCGATGAACACGTTCTTATATTTAAAACAAAACTTAACTAGGCAATGAGAGAAACTTTAGCATACATATGTCTAGTACGGTAGGTATACAAAATATATACACAGCAATCTAACTGAATTTATTTCAAGCCAGAATATAGTGCTGGAATTAGTAGTAGCTACAGTTGATGCAGAGAAAAAATATAAATGAATCCTAGAACGGAAGGAAAAATATTTGTTAGTAATCAAAAGTCTTTGTTCGCTGAATGATTGGGATCATGGTTGAACTGGTATAAGGTTGACCCATGAGAGCCTTATTTTTAAATGCAAGTGATGTATTTAGAATTTAGAAAACATTCACAGTAGAAAGACTCACTCAAGAAATTCATTCAAGTAAATAAGACTTGAGTTAGTAGTTTAAAACTTTTACTAATATTAAAAATTACAAATATATCACAATGCAAATGAAGTAAAATTTTGATATGAATAGAACAGTTGACCAATCAAAAAAAAAAAAACTACAATTTTGCCACACTCAATCTTCTAACATTTCAACTGGAAATGCATCTATGAAAATGCTGACATTGATACACATGTCACTATCAGCCTAAAGCATGAAAATGCATTCTGTTCAAAATTCCTGGCACAGATTAGGATCCACAAACCTATGTATTTTTCACACATGATAATTAGCAACCATTTACTTTTCTAGAGCAACAATATAGTTTTCTCGGGTTTTCAAAGTAAATTTTTATGAAAAATAATCATCTCTTGGTACGAGGACAGTTTACAGTCATATATTCATTTATATAAATAATCCCTTTAATCATTCTACTGTTGAGTAGTGAGATTTCAATGGTTAGACTGAACCATTTCTGATGATATCCCAATGAAGCTTCCCATAAATTCAGACAAAAATTCAACAGTGTAATCATGGGATCTACATGATTCTCTCTCATGGAATTACTTAGGTGCATGTTTAGGTTGAGTTTCTAATATCAACATCCAAGGTTTGTGACATCTTATTTCAATGGTTATGCAGGAGCTAATTGCTGATTTCATGCGTTGCTATTTTTGAAAGTTTCACTTTTTTAGATTAAAGATTGGAGCTTGCAGACCTTTATTCTATTTCATCACACTTAATGTCATTTGAATTGCTTCATTTTTCATGATCTGACTGAATCTTGGTGCTCCTATTAGTTTTATTAATTGCATTCATTTTATTAATTTCATTTATTTGATTAATGAATCAAATCTTGTGATCTTGATCCATCTTGATTTCCACCCCACAAAACCTTCTCCAAGGTATGGCAAACATCACACCTACATGTGTAGGTGTGGAAAAAAAAAACTCAACCAAAATTGGATAAAATCCTACTTTTACCAAGATAGTCACTTCAAAGTCATACTACAGTCATTCCTTCAGGAATGAAATAACACAGCTTAAAAAGTCAAGTATTTTGGTTTGATTAGAAATATTGCATGCGTTATTGTTCCAAGAAAGTTCCAACATAAAACAGTTCAGTATGGTGCTACTACCAAAATATCCTGTAGTGACTGCACCCAGAACATTTTTTAGAAATCTAATATTTGAAGTCATGCTAGACTTCAATAAAACTGTGTTGTTATTTACACAAAAATGCAAAAAAAATTGCTTCAACCAAAAATTGTTTTGCATACAATAAAATTTCCCTTTTTTGGCAATTTCTCAAGTATCAAAGATTTGACAAATGTGTGCACAGCTAGGCAATGAAATTGAAGCCAGAAAATTACTTTGTAGCTGATAGAAATGCACAGGTTTAAAAATCAAATTACTTGATTGCTTTTCTCACTGCAGCCAAAGGTATTGAATCATGGCTCTAAAAACCCAGTTGTGCCATAGAATGAAGTTTTTCACATCAACTCAAATCTGCTTGAAATACATTTTATATCCAGTCATGTATGTAGCCATGATGGTGTGGAAATTATATAAGTATGTGAATAAGGAGCACTGAGGTTCTAGGAAAAGTTGTATTTTTCCAGCCTAACAGTTGCATGGAAGTTTGTCTAATGTTGGTGCACTGTATGACAGGCAGCATGGTTAAATTTTGGAGCAAAAACATATAAGAAACGGAGCTTTTGGGATATTAAAACTACAAGCACTTATCAAAGAATAACACATGCCCATGGCTGCACAAACAGGCACAAATTAAATTTACTTTCAAACCACTTTGTAAAGCTTTTCCATTATTTATGGCGCAGTAAGATTAGGACTCCAGGAATTTTCACCAATCTTATTACTAATAAAAATGCATGCTCATATGTTGTTCTTGATAAATAGAGTTTTGCTGAACTGAATTTTTTATTAACCCTTAACGGCCGGCGCAATGAATTGTTTTGTAAAAAAAATATCGAAGTTGATTTTTGGGCTTTACTGACTCATAATAAGAGTAATGGATGATCAAACCTAGAAAATTCACTTTCACTAAAACAATATTAATGGTGTACGAATTAGTACAGTCAGGACCACACATGCACCAAAGGAAACATTGAAAATACATATGTTATCAGAAAAAGAGCTTTGCTGTTGAATTAGAACCAATTCATTTTCTTATGCACATATTTGACTGCAAAAATACATGATTATTTAGAAGTTACTTATCATAGTAGCATCTTATCGACTTGTAAATCCTCTTTTATTCACACAGTAAATCACAGTAAAAAAATAATAAAATGGCACCTGTTACAAATTTCACAGCCAGCACTGAGGCAATATCCCAAATAAATATGCTCCTTATAACATAAAGCTGCAGGAAAAATATGAGCAAATTTGATGTAGACAGAGCTGGGCAGTGATACTTTGAAATGTAGCGGCCGCTACCGCTACCGCTACATGCTCTAAATGTAGCGGCGCGCTACCGCTACCGTTACACCCACTAGATCGTAGCACCGCTACCGCTACTGAAA